AAAAAAAAAAACCCACCCCGAGCACAAATATTCCGTTACTTTCGTACCGAAAGTCGGAACAATAAATAAAAAAATGCAAAGCTTCAGACTTACCTTCCAGAAACGAAACAAGCGGCCAAATAATAAGGCTCAATTTGAGTTAGTTTTTTTATTAACTCCAATTGAGTTGTCTCTTTTGCCTTATTTGAACGAACTTCATCACTAGTTATTTTTCCCCTAACCCCTAATATCCAAATATATGAATTGTTTATGGTGACAGAAGATGACAGAATATTTGTGCTCGGGTGGTTTTTTCTCCGGAAAAGTTGTGACTTTTAGACTAAAATGTTTTGACAAAATTTTTCATCAAGCAAAAGAGTGTTGTTGTCTTGAGCTCTGATTTAGGAAGACTTTTAACCGGTGATCTTTTTTGGTCCGTCTTTCGAAGAAAACGGAATATTTATGCTCGGTGTGGTTATTTTTATTCACTCAATTTTCGCTGATCGAAATAACAGTTTTCAACAAAAGTTGTTTTTTGCCAAATTTTTCAATTTCTGTACTAAGTTATGCGCGCTTTGAAGAGTTTATTTCATAATGCTACAAGCGTAACGCGAATTGTTTACGCGTCGCGAATTATACCGCACAGCAAAATTGTTCCAAATTGAATGGAGGCTAGTTAATCGGTCGTATAAATTTCGTACGACTCAAAGTTTTACACTTTGATATTGTCAAAAAATTATAGGTTTTCAATATTTTCTTTTCCCAAATTTTATTCGATATGAAAATTAAGGGACAGTCGGAACATTCAAGGCTTCGCTCTGATATACGAGCAGTCTTGTATGTAAATTTATGAGGGTTTGAAGACTAGCAATTGGCCAATTTGGGATAAATAGCTTGCACTATGTTTTGTGCTCGGAGTGAGCGGAGATTTAATCCCTCATAAAAACCAATCTGAATTGATTTTAGGTTTATGCTATTTGGTCTGTTTAATACTTTGTATATGCAAAAAGTATCATTTTGAATTTTCTATAGCGTGTGGGGTTATAGTTTTCTCAAAAAATATTGAGCTAACTTTGTTTTCTTTTCAAAATTATCATCAAGTTTTTAAAGAGAAAACTACTCCATAGAGTTTCAAAGGCAGTTAAAACAATCAAAGTTTTACCCTGATCCTAGAAGTTTTAAATTTTAATTGTAAATTGTTAGCTAGTACTTTTAAAATTTTGTCTAAAAAGCCAAAAAATTAAAGTTGAAGCAATAGGCATGACATGATTATGGTTGTATCGTGAGAATGACCTAAGAAGCAGTCATTGAAAAATTCTAAAATTTAAATGAATCTAATTGCTTCCTTGCAATTTTCATGCGTCACTTTTTCGAAAAAAAAATTACCTCGTGATGGTCAATTTTTGCAGCATTTTTTTTGTGAATTACAGCTTATTTGCAATAATTTGAAACCCAAATATTGGTTTATATACGTTGAGTCAATTCTGAAATGTCACAGAGAGTGTGATAAATGTATCTGCCACAATTTTTAGTGACTTATGATTTTTTTTTCATTTAAGACCAAATTATTGTTGTGTAATGATAAAAACATATATTCGTACACAGTAATAACTTTTACAAAAAAAAGTTGTGTATGAGTCAAATTATCAAATTAACCAAATAGTAATTATTTTTTTATGAAAAAATCCTTATCAGTACAAATCGAAAAATAACTAGTCACGCTGACTGTTTCATGTAGTTTTTTTACGACTGCTTTCAGAGAAACTGGTTTTGTAACTGAACATAGAATTCACAAGTTTGTAGTGGTTGATCGTAATTTCTTGAGTTCAACGAAGCCGATCACCGATAAACCCGAAACTAAATCGTTTTATTGGCGCTTGCAAAATTTTTGAGTAGATTGGCACGTGTGCAAAAAAATGCTTTTGATGTACATTTTGACGTCAATTTGTTTCGTCACTGGTTTTTCTTATGGGAGATTCTATAGGCTCAGTCTAGCCATTTGAATATAGCAAAATTTCTTTCTCAGCAGGCAGTTAATCACTCATCTGTATGCTAGGCAATTGTGCCATCTGAAAAAAAATCGGAAAAGTCAACGTTCGGGTTTGTTCAATAAAGTCCAAAGAATTGCAGTGCAGTGTTGTTGGTTGGTTGATTTAATGTAAGGTCGCTTTATGTAAGCTGTGAGTTGCTAGATTTATGGAGTCAGGGTTGAGAACGTAAATTTATATCTGAGTTCACCCATTCACCCTTTTCCTACTTTTTAGCTTTCTTGAAATTTTAATGAAATTTGGTTGCTTTCTTTATTGTTCCGACTTTCGAAGAAAGCGGAATATTTAAGCTCGGTGTGATTTTTTTATTCAGTCAATTTTTACCGATCGAAATAATAATTTTCAGCAAAAACTTTTTTATACCTTATTGAAGATATCGACTTCCTGAGTTCAAATGTACAAAGATATTTAACCTCCGATTATTTTTTGTAAAGTTCTGGGCGTTTGCAAATTGCCCAATTTGCCATGTTCTGGACTGAATCATGCGCGCTTTGAAAAGTTTATCCTTAATGCTGAGAGCTTAAAGCGAATTATTTATGCGTGGCGATTTATCTCGCTCAACAAAATCGTTCCAAAATGAATTGAGGCTAGCTAATTGGTGGTCGTATCAATTTCTTACGATTCAAAATTTTACACTTTGATATTGTCCAAAGTTTATAGGTTTTCAAAATTTTCTGTTACCAAAAACTATTCGATATAAATTAGGGCACAGTCGGAACACTCAGGGCTTTGCCCTGATATACGAGCAGTTTTGTTGATATCAGTTCAGCTTTTCATTCAAATTAATGCTTTTTGCCTTTTATCTGATTGCAGAGTATTAAATATTAATCAATCGGATTTCTTAACTAGCTCCTAAAAACCTTTTTGTAAGTATTGACTGTTTTCATATGTCAGACTAATAATAAACCATATGGAATAAAATTGAACTCATAACCCACTTGCATTTTGTATTTTCAGTATTCCTATTGATAACAGTCGAGTTAAGATTAGTATTAAACAAAAGAGTTAAACGAAAATAGATAGCGTGACAAACAGGCACTGTACTCAATTCAAAAGACTTCCATTGGTGGACCATTTGAAAAATTTTGACGGCTTTTTTTCTAACCCCCCTTTTTGTCAAATTTTTGTTTCCGAGGTCTTGCATAAAACTTAAGACACAATTTTTCTAAAAATTTCTACGCAAATTTTAGAAAAAAATAGACCAAAAGTGCCATTTTTCAATAAAAATATTTTTTGGCAGAAATTTTTTTTTTTTTGGCGCGCGCTCACACCTCAAAAATTAGTTCTTCTTGCGCATAGTGACCGTTACAAAATTTAAGCTTGTAATATTTTAATATAGTTGTGTAGCGTATTATCATTCTTACGACCCAGTTGTTAGGAACTTTAAAAGCTGGTTCTTTATCCCCTCATACCAATTAAAAACTACTAACTGTTGCCTGGTACGATTTATCACCTCTTGCGAATTATCTTATTCTCATAACTAATTGTCGCTTTCGCCAGGGAACCAGCATTGATACTGTGCTGGGTGATAATCATAGGAGGGAGGCCTCAAAAAAATTTGGATCCTAAAATTAGGTTCCAAGCGTTTTTTCAGTGAAAAGCAGGCGCAATACAACAATTTAATTTGTAGCTACTAAACTTTTTGACGCCCCCTAAGGATTTTAGGCGTCCACAAGCAGTGCCCCTCCCCGTAACTACCCCCCCCCCTCTAAGGATCGCAGTCAAGTCCGTATTTTACACATATTTTCGGGCAACCATATACAATAACAACAACAACTATTCTTATTTGAACAAAATCAAAGGTAACATTTAAGCAAACTGTTTATAATCTGAAAAAAAAAAAATTACAATGACTTGAAGCTAGATTTAAGGATTTTTTCACGCTACACTTTTTTACACAAAAAATACGTCGTTTGAAGTCAAGTCATCGAAATTGTATGTCGAGTCAGAATAAATCAATTTGAAGCCTTTTTAGCCCTTGCCGACCCAAAGGGTCCTCCCTTTGATACTTTTTCAGAAATCTATTTTTGGCCGACCGACCCTAAAATTTTTCTTAAGGCGCCTTTGGGGCCAATATGTAGTAATTTTGAAGGGGGAGCGCGCGCCGAAAAAACGCGATTTTTTGGTCAACATTTTTTAAAAAGTACCTAAAAACCTTTTTCAAAAATTTGCTTGCGGCGCAGAAAATTTAGCCAAAATAGGGGCAAAACAGTGCTTTGGGAGAGCTCGAAAAATCAATTTGGTCGACCTAAAAAAAAAGGTCGTGAAAAATTTCGATTTTTTTTTTAAATCCGCCCCCCTCGAGAAAATCTTAGATCCGCCCCTGTCGCGGACTATTTTTGCTTCTGTTAAAGTTTCACAGTTTGAAGTGTTTCTCTATAATAGAAATGCATTTTTGCAGAGTTTTCTTATTATAATTTTGGTTTTTTCTTTGAGCTCAATTGAGAAAAGCTGAAGACAAGGGTCAATCCGTGGGACCATATTTTGTAGTTTTTAGCGTCACGCTTGCCTTGTTTAGACAACATCAGTTAAAAGAGAAACTTATATTTCAGAACTTTCATTATGTATATCCCTTCTGCAACTGATTGATTAGGTAGTTATCTCAAATTGCTGATTGATTAGGTACATCTCAAATTGCTGTAAAGGTCCCTTTCGATCATTGAGTACATATGGAACTAAGTTAATTAAGCTCAAAAGCATCGTTTTTTGACCAGATAGAATATAGCTGGAATAACTCAAGCACAAAGTCGGAATATTCGACTAGTTAAAAAAAGCAATCTACTAATTGGATCAATTTTTACCAATATTTGTGTGCATCTTTATAATAAATTTCAGATGATGTTCATTTTAAAATTCTGTCTGGATATTAGCTTCTGGGAGCATTTCTTTAAAAGAAGCCAAATTAGCTTTGTCTGATTTTTGTCTGCTACATTTTTACTGCAACTCTAAATAATGTGTTGCTTTTGGGTTCAGATCACAGGCGGCAATCTTCCAGACTCGATCTGGTATCCAGATACTTACTTCCAACTGGTTCGCTCTCAGATCTATTCTCTCGAGGAGCAGTACTTAGTGGCAGATGAGAGTGGGAATATAGAGTACAACAGGAAGGTGCGACTGACCACGCCCTGTTCCCCCGACGTCATGCTGTTTCCCTTTGATATCGTCACTTGTTCACTCATGCTGTCTAGTTTCGGGTACACCGCCAACGAAGTCTACTACACTTGGCTCAGGGGATCAGGTTTGAACGCGATAAATTTTAGAGAGGGGGCAGTTGAGAGGGAGGGGGGGGGGGCAGTTGTACTGTGCAAAGAGTGCTGCGACGTATAACGCATTCGCAACGCATTTGCAATGATCAAAACAATTTAACACTTGTTTTGTGTTTCTCTTTAGCTGAATGGAAACGTTCTGTCAACAAAGTAATCATTGATTTAAGTCCTATTTTTCATCAACAAAACAAGACTGCTCGCATAGGCTTTATGGAGCAGTAATAACCTATGAAAATTAAATGTAATAAATGAAAAAAAAAATTCTAAAATTTGAAAATTTTTATGAAAATCATCCCCCCCCCACACGCCATATAAGGTACAAAGGGATAGATTTTGCTCCTGGTAACAAATCAATTATGGCAAACAAGCTTCTTTCAACCAATTTTGAACAATTTCTAAAACGGATTTAATCTCAGCTTACACGGTAGTAGCGCGAAACACATCGCGCGTTAATTATCCCAAATGGCCAAAATGGCAATCTTTAAACCCCCATAACTTTACGAAAAATGATCAGATAAAATAGCTTTTCAAATTAATATGGTTTTTGTATCGAAGTCAACCAGTGATGTTAGCGCCTAAAGGCAGTGCATAGATAGCTTGAAAACCATTAAATTCCACTTTTGCAGTGTCCTAAAACCATTTTTGTCTTTTTTTGAATGCAGTAAAACATAAAATGAAGTCGAGGGATTTTCATGAGAAAAAAACGTGTAATTCTAACAAGACTGCTCGTGTCAGGGCGAAGCCTTGAATGTTCCGACTGCCTTTTAAGGTCTATGAAGCAGTAATAACACGAAAAAACTAAATGTAAAAAAAAATGAAAAAAAATTTGTAAAAAACTTTGAGATATTTTGTGAAAATCATCCCCCCACACGCCATATAAAGTACAAAGTGATAAATTTCGCTACAAGTAACACATCAATTATGGCAAATAAGCTTTCTTCAACCAATTTGGAACGATTTCTAAGACGGATTAAATCTCCGTTTACGCGTTAATAGCAATCTTTAAACCCCCATAACTTTACGAAAAATGATCACAGGTGAAATGTCTTTTCAAATTTAACCTGAGGACAACAATACCTTTTGAATGATTTAGAAAAATTCCGTCAAAAATGGCTAGTACAAAGTCGAAATTTGTCTGAAGAAAAAAAACCCACCCCGAGCACAAATATTCCGTCACTTTCGTTTCGAAAGTCGGAACAATAACACAAACTGCCAATCAGCCATAGAAGTGAGTCACTTCCATTTTAATCATCAATACAAGTAATTGACCATGTATAATTGACCATTTTAGAGATTGATTAGCGCAATATACAGGTTTATTACAACACAAAATTTCAGATCAGTAGGTCCATTCGCTAATCAGGGTAACAAACGACTTCACACATATCAAAGACTTGTTACACGATTCACTTTACTGATTACTTTCAAGTGGGATTCCTTCGTTTGCCCATAATCTTTGAATGATTCCAATCAAACGCTTGTTTCATTGTACCAGGCGTTTCTGCAGAGCAGTTTACAGCTCCGAGTAACACGCTGACAAGGCTATGTTGTTCTTCTCTGAAAATCTATAAAAACAAAATTCATTATAAGAGACTGATTTGGTCGCGCGCGACGTATCTTTCGGCCGATTTTGGTAACTATTTGTATATGAACTGGACTTAAAATTACTCCTTGATCACCTTACATAAAAAGAACACAAGACGAAACATAAATCGACATAGGTTAATACTTTGAAAGCCGAAGCATTAACTTAATCTTTTGAAACAAAATTTGATCGATTTTGACAATTACATAATTGAGTCCTTAATTTGAGGGCTAGAATTGGCTTGATTGATTTTGATTTTAATAAAGAGGCTGTTAACATGCAGAAGAGTGAAACTCCCAAAACCATTTGACGTTTCAAGGTGTAACATTGCGAGCATAAAACATTAAAACATATATAGTATTATTAGACTTGTCTATACCTGCAGTCAGGTGCTAGGCAAATAAGACGACCTGACATTAGGGCGAAATGAAATTAGGACGAAAAATGAGAGGTTAAACATGTAAAATAAGCTGTTCGAATGTAAGCCGTTTATCTCTCAGAAATTCAATGGGAGAATCGTGTAGCGACTTCTTAAAGTCCAATAAAAAATGGTTGTCATGTTCATGTTAACGGCTGTCGTTTTATTTGCAGGATATCATGTGGTCCGACCATGAAACAGCAAATATCGAGTCTGTCGCCCATATGAGCTGAAGTTTTTGATTAAAATATTAATCCTCTCAATTTAGATTTTACAACTGGCAGCTATCAATCAGTCCAAAATTTCCAAGCCTCGATGTTTTCACGGGACATTTTCAAAATCTCTTAGCTCTATGGGTTAATATTTCAAGTTTTTTCAAGCGGGTTTTCAGCGGTCTGCCATATTCCCCCTTTTGGAGGCATAGTCACTTGACTTTCAAGATGAAGAAGAAAACGATCACTTGAAAATGTCACCAATACGGCGTATAATCTGGAGACTTAGGTCTCCATGACGCTTGTAAATGCGATTAGCTGTCTATAACACGTTTGAATTCCAAAGGGGACCTCATCGGCTAAAGCTTATAAAATCAGCTTCAAAAGAAAAGGTTCTCCTCCAGTAAATATGGTTAATGCCAAATTGTTGACATGATCAGTGACCCAGAGCAATTTAATTGATCAATCACGATACCATTATAGGTTAAATAGTTTTTTGAACACAGTTTTTGCGTGAGGAATTCAATGAAAAGCATAAATACGGCATCGAAATTTTGTTCAGAAATTGTTGACCGATAAGGATATTGCCAGCAACTTGGTATTAACTATACATAAGACATTTATTTCAATTGATCTATATTTTTTAGTCCCCACTTTTGCGAAGGCAGAGAAAGTTTCATAATTTATTATATGCACAACCATAGCTTAGATGGTAAATGTAATGTTCTGACTTAAATAGATAAACTAGGAGGTGATAAGCAGGTGATAAACATTTTTTAATTACTTTTTTTAGCTCCAAAACCAAATTGGTTGCGTTGTTGTCTGCACAAGTTTATGCACAAGTTTGAAAGCATTTTGCTTCGAACACAAAACGAGTATTTTCGACGAATTAGACTTTATCATCTCCCTAAAGAAGGCAAAGGAACTTCCTGTTTTCCTGTCGAACTGAGACTCGCATGTACATCTCTTTCAATATCGCATAAGGTTGGGTGTTAGTGATACCGAAATCTGGTTATAACAGCCAGTACATTTCACAAAGATCCACTCCTGAGAAGAATATTGTTCGGCGAGGAATTCGGATTATAAGTTGTCCTCTATTTATCTTTGTATTGGTGTAAGCTTGATGAGTAGAGAAAGCTGTTGCATCCTTGTTCGGTCCGTGATCCGAAGATGTCTAGGTTGTCGGTTCCTATCCTTATATCACTAGGGCATATCGAGGTTTTTTTCTGGGCATCACTAGGCATATTGAAATTGATTGGCTCTCACTGAAATATTCGAAAAGTCCAAACTAATGTTTCTTCTAATTGGATTTCCGTCGGTTGATTCAATTGAAAATTTGGGAGGACTGGTCGTGTGATGTACTTCGATTAGGAAAGTCTGTTTTTTTTGTGCGCTTCGAGGTTCCTACTGTAAAAGAAGCAAATGGGTCAACTGTTTCGTCGTGCAAACACTGGTCTATTGACATTGTTGTTAATCAAGCAAAGTTTATCAAAAAAAAGTTTGCTGGGGATTTCAATTCACGGTGGCTCGCAAGGACTAGTGGCAGCCTGTTATTGCTGTTGTTTTTGTTGGATATGAGAGTGCGTCAGTGTAGTCTTACTATAAGGTCTTACCTTCCAACGCCATCATCAAAGAGAGTTCTTCAACCATGATGTCCCGATCGAAGAGTATCTGCCGTACCGAAGAGTTTGAATCGAGCTGCTGTCGTTCCGGGGCAGGCAAGCCAATGCTCTACCTTGTCTTTTTCTTGTTCGCGTCTTCAACATCTGGAGTCGGTTCACGCGTCCATGAGATTCCTCTATGATCATTTCTCATCGGGTTGGTTATCTTGTTAGAACCTCCCTCGAACATCCCTATAAGTGTTTTAAAAGAACTGACCTGACTACCATAAAAAAACTCTGGAGACTTTGTTCGATTAACATTATAAAAATATGAGCTTACACTGTGACAACAGAAAGTTTTTTGACTAATTTCCGGAATTTTTAAAGTTATTTTATCAACATAAAAGATTTCAAAATAAGATTTTAGTTTTCGCATTTTGCAAAGATTTTTTAAAGAAATATTATCTTTATTTCTTTTTGATCAAAGATCTTCTGTTTCAACATTTATAAATCTCTAAACTATTTTCAGGTCGCTTTTAATCCACAGTTTCATCCAAATGACTTAAGTTTTATTTTTTCTTGAATCCAAAAATTTTAATTATTATAAATTGAAAAAAGAAAAAAGTCAATTTTTGCGCAATTTTATACTAAACTGTTTACGATTGAAAATCTATTGTTTTCTTTTTCCTCCAACGTTTTTGAGTTGTATTTACGCTTTTTATTCGCCTTTTCAAAAGGGTTTTTTAGGGGGATGTAGATTCTTGCACTACAGCACTCTTTGACGAACTAATGTACGGAAATGGTGTATAGCTAATTGCTGTGAAAGTTTTAAAACATACGATTGTAAAAAATTGTTCATAATACAAATTGATGAAAACATAGTTTTTCTTTGTAGGCAGTTTCGCAAACATCTGAACTTCAATTTTCAAAGTTTTTCGGAAAAGATTTTACAAATAAACTGAAACAAGTAATAAGCAATTGAATTTGCAAAATATAGTCAAATAATTAAGAAAACTGTTTTATTAGAATCAGTTACAAAAAAGTACAAAATTGTTCAAATTTCCTAAATGTTCAATTAGGAAAAGTCGGAAGACAAAGCAAATCGCAATGTTTTGTTTCTCATTCGGTAGTAAACAATATAGGAATACTTTTCTGC